GCCACTGTACTCTAGCCTGAGAGACAGAGCAAGACTCAGTCTGAAAACAAAACAAAACAAAACATACATGGTATGTTTCAGCCCATTGCACTTACTCTCCTTGTCCAAGCTCAAATTGTCCCTTTTTTAGCCTGCAGTGCCACTTGTGCTTGGCTCTTGGGCCTGCTAACAATACTGTTTGTTTAGTTTCTGTATTGTCCAGTGTGACACAATGTTCTTGGCTTATCTTGCGTATTTCCTCCCCAGCCACTTTTGCAAGAAGAATGTGAAACATTTAAAACAAAAACAAAGTTTCAGTGACCCAGTCGCACTCCAAACCAACTTAATCAGAATCCTGGTGGGGATAGGGCCCACATACAGATGGGGTCCTCAGAGTGGAGTGCAGTGGTGGGATCTCAGCTCACTGCAACCTCTGCCTCCTGTGTTCAAATGATTCTCCTGCCTCAGCCTCCTGAGTAGCTGGAACTACGGTTGTGAGACACCACTCTCAGCTAATTTTTGTATTTTTAGTAGAAACAGGGTTTTGGCCAGGCTGGTCTCCAACTCCTGACCGCAAGTAATCTGCCCACCTTGGCCTCCCAAAGTGCTGGGATTACAGATGTGAACCACCACACCCTGCCAGGATACAGTATCTTTTAAAAAGCATGCCCAGCCTTGGATGTGGAAACCCCTTGAGGAGAGTATGCCGCCTTATCGGGCTCTGTAAATGCCTTATCTCTCTCTGCACAAGGCTGGGACTTTGAGTGGAGTCCTTGGCTAAAGCTCTCATTGCTACGTGGTGACATTTCTTCCTCTCCTGCTTAAAGCTTGTGTTTCAGAATTTTGACCTGAATGCATCTGTGTTGAAAGCCAGGCTTGATCTGTCATCCTAGGACTCTGTTGATTCCTTTCCTTGCCTGTATGTTGAGCTGGGGCTCATCTTCGTGTCTCTGGGAGATAAGTTCTTTGGTAGCTTGCTTAGAGTCTCTTAGTACTTTTCCTTGCCCTTAGAATGAATACAAAAATATGTGGCCTGCAGTGTAGACTGTGCACAGCCTTCGGTGTAGACTGCTCAGGCCCCCTCTTGGTTCCTGGAGTCTGCCATGCTTCCTTCTACCACTGGGCCTTTACACACACTGCTGTCTGCTGGGAGTGCCTTGCCTTTTCTCATTACTTAGTTCTCCTCTACTCATCTTTCAGGCACCAGCTTGACTGTCTTCCTTGCGGGAGCCTTCTCTGACCTTGGTACACCAGATCAGTCCCCATGTGCAGAGTTTGTCTCGTTGGTCATATTTCTCTACCTTCAGGACACATATCACGGCCCAGAAGTTGCAGTTTTGCATTTGTTCGTGTGATCATTTGATGCATGTCTCTCTGGAGCCTGACTCTGCAGGGCTCACATCCTGTCTCCACCACTTTTAGCTGTGGGACTTTGAACAAATCATTTCATCTCTGGTTCCCAGTTTCTTTTAACTGCAAAACAGGAATGATATAATCCTTTGACCTACCTTGTGAAGTGGGGATGAAGATTAAATAGGGTAACTTGTATAAAGCACTTAGAGCTAGCTATTAATAGTAGAGAATCTTGGCAGGTATTACTGATGATTACTGCAGTGGACCACAAGGCAGGGGCTGTTTCTGTTTGTTTAGATTTGTATGTAGGGTGCTTGGCACATGGATGGTGCACAGGATATATTTGTTGGATGAATGAATGAAGTGGAGATAACAGTAATACCATGTTTATAGCGTTCCGTGAGGATATAAAATAATGCAAGTGTATAAGTTCTTGGTAGCTTGTCTAGCTCATAGTAGGTGTCAATAAATATCCAATGAGGAAAAGGGGACAATAATAATACCAGCTTATGAGGTTGTCATGGGGATCTGAGGTAACTCTGTAGTACATCGTAGAGTGCCAAGCACATAGTAGGTGCTCAGAAAATATTTGTTGAATGAATGGGTAAAGTGGGAATGACTGTAACACCAGCTCCTAGCGTTGTTGCGGGGTTAGAAGATAAGGCAGGTCGGTAGCTTGTTGTATTGTGCTTGCGTGTGGTAGACACTCTGTTGAGTGAAACGGGAGAAGATGCTGTGAGTTTCTTTCTCCTGGGGCTTAGGAGAGAATCCTTTTGGGGTACAGAATGGTATGGAGCAGACGCTGGTCCTCTTGAAGGAAGAATGGGCAGCTGACTACTCCCTGCTAAGCTCTGGCCCAGATGAAAAGTTGAATTGTTCCCTTCCCTCTTCCTCGCTAACCTGTTCTTTCTTTCCACTAGTATCCTTGCCCAGAGTTCAGTGCCTCCTTCCTGTCCAAGATCACCTTCTAGGGGATCACCGGTTAAGGCTGGGCCCCCAATGCCGAGCTCCTCCCTTGACTTCTTTCTCCTTCGCTCTTCTGTAGAGTTGTCTTGAACCTGACTGTGCTGGCCATGTGGTCTCAGAGACACCAACTCTGTCCTGCAAGTCCGTCACCTTGAATGTGATAAACACATGAGCCATGAGCAGCTTAAATCTCTGCAGAAGGCTTGGCCTGGGACAGCCATACCCTGGACTGCTCTTGCTTTAGCTTCCGATTTGGGTTTTTATTTTTTTATTTCTTACCTAGACATCATGTTCAATCTGACAGATTTGGGTTTTTTAAATTATTATTATTGACATTGTTCCCCTCCTGCTCTCAGCTCCTTAGAGAAATAATACTGTGTCACCCTAGGAAACGTGGGTTAAAAAAAAACACATTTGCAGATCAGCAGTAAGGAAACACGCAGAGGCCACTGTCACCATTAGTACGCCTCCTTCTGGTCTTCTTTTCTTTATGAGACAGAGTCTCGCGCTGTCTCCCAGGCTGGAGTGCAGTGGCACAATCTCAGCTCACTACAACCTCTGCCTCCTCGGTTTAAGTGCTTCTCCTGTCTCAGTCTCCCAGGTAGCTGGGATTACAGGCGTGCGCCACCATGCCTGGCGAGGTTGTGTATTTTTAGTAGAGACAGGGTTTTGCCATGTTGGGCAGGCTTGTCTTAAACTCCTGACCTCAGGTAACCAACCCGCATCGGCCTCCCAAAGTGCTAGGATTACCGGTGTGAGCCACAATGCCCAGCCACCTTGTTGTTTTCTTTTTGTACATCTCTTTCTGCCCGTTTTCAACATCTTATTGGGGATTATTTGAAGAATCTTTTTTTTTTTACCCTAATATGCATCATCTTTTTGTTTTTTTGGAGACAGGTTTTGCTGCGTCACTGAGGCTGGAGTGCAGTGGCACAATTGTAGCTCACTGCAGTCTCGATCTACTGGGCTCAGGTGATGCTCCTGCCTCAGCCTCCCGAGTAGCTGGGACTATAGGCATGCTCCACCATGCCCAGCACATTTTTGCCATTTTTTTTGGCAGAGATAGGGTTTCAGCATGTTGCCCAGGCTGGTCTCCAAATCCTGAGCTCGAGTGATTCTTCCACCTCAGCCTCCCAGAGTGCTGGGATTATAGGAGTGAGCCACATGCCCAGTCTCATTTTTGTCTTTATGAACTTTTTGTAAACATCTTTTTAAAAGATGAGATGTTTCAAATAATTCCTTCAAAATACTATTAAAGAGCATCACTAGGACAGTTGGTTAATTTCTATATGACTGCAGGACACCAGATGCTTGCTAATAACATTCATTCTTGTTTTGGAAACTTGTGCTCTAGTTACATAAGAGCACGTCCTGGATTGTAAGGGAAAATCCCCATTTTTGCGGGGGCAAAGATATGTAGAGCCTACATCTTAACTTTTTTATATTTTGAGACAGAGTCTTGCTCTGTTGTCCAGGCTGGAGTGCAGTGGCATGATCTGCAGCCTCTGCCTCTTGGGTTTAAGTGATTCTCCTGTCTCAGCCTCCTTAGTAGCTGGGATTACAGGCGTGCACCACCACACCTGCCTAATTTTTGTATTTTTAGTAGAGATGGGGTTTCACCATGTTGGCCAGGCTAGTCTCAAACTCCTGGGCCTCAGGTGATCCACCCGCTTCAGCCTCCTGAAGTGCTAGGATTATAGGCATGAGCTACTGGGCCTGGCCCATATATTAGCCTTTTTTAATGTAAAATTTAAAAAAGTTGGTCAGGCATGGTGGCCCATGGCTATAATCTCAACACTTTGTGAGGCCAAGGTGGGAGGATTGCTTGAGCCCAGGAGCTCAAGACCAGCTTGGGCAACATAGGGAGACTCTGTCAAAAAAAAAAAAAATTAGCCAGCTATAATGGCTCACACCTGAAGTCCCAGCTACTTGGGAGGCTGCAGTAGGGGGACTGCTCTAGGCCAGGAGCTGGAGGCTGCGGGGAGCCGTGATCGTGCTACTGTACTCCATCCTGAGTGACACAACGAGAGACACTGTCACCAAATAAAAGAATGAGGTCGAGCATGGTGGCTCATGCCTGTAATGACAGCATTTTGGGAGGCCAAGGCAGGCGGATTGCCTGAATTCAGGAGTTTGAGACTAGCCTAGGCAACATGATGAAACCCTGTCTCTACTAAAATATAAAAAATTAGCCAGGCATTGTGGTGTGCTCCTGTAGTCCCAGACTTGGGAGGCTGAGGCAGGAGAATTGCTTGAACCTGGGAGACAGAGGTTACAGTGAGCTGAGAACACACTACTACATTCCAACCTGGGTGACATAGTGACACTCCATCTCAAAACAACAAAAAAACAAGAAAACAAATAATGAATGATAAAAAAGAGTGAATTAGAGCCATCTTGATATTTCCCTCCTAAATAATCTTTTTTCCCTAAGTCTTTTGTATACACTCCCCTAAAAGAAAGCCATTTTTCCTGCATGACCCAACAGAATGAGCTGTAATAACCTTGTAATGTGTGAGATGTCTGTCCACATTCAGACATCCCCAGCTGCATGGCTGCGTTTGTTCGCAGTGGGCCGTTGTGCTGTGCAGGGGCACAGCATCGGCATGCGTGTGGAGTGAGCCCCGTCCTCCTCCTCCTCTCATTGACTCTCATTGCCTAACCCTCTTGTGTCTTGGCCTCAGGTTGATCGTCCGGGGCTACCACCAGTCCCTGATGAGCAGTGGGCTCTGGTCCTTAAATAAGGAGGACACGTTCGAACAAGTCGTGCCTGTTTTGGGAAAGAACTGAAAGAAGGAATGCATTAAGTCTAGGAAGTAAGTGTGCATTTCCTTGTCCTCCAGGATGCCCCGGTTTCCTACTTCCTGCCCCTGTGGCCTGAATCCAGGCTGCGGCCCTGGCGATGTTGTAAGCTTTATGGTTCTTGCTTCTCCTCCAGGCCTCAGTTAGCTTTTCTGCCAAATGGGGTAAAATCTCACAAGTCATTAAGGTAACTGGGCAGAAAAGAAGAGAGAAGCTGGGCATGGTGGCTCATACCTGTAATCCCAGCATGTTGGGAGGCCAAGTTGGGTGGATCACAAGGTCAGGAGTTCAAGACCAGCCTGGCCAACATGGTGGAACCCCATCTCTACTAAAAATACAAAAATTAGCTGGGTGTGGTGGCAGGCACCTATAATCCCCACTACTTAGGAGGCTGGGGTAGGAGAATCGCTTGGTCCCAGGAGGTGGAAGTTGTAGTGAGCCAGGATCACACCACTGCAGTCCAGTCTGGGAGACAGCGAGTCTGTCTCAAGAAAAGAAGAGAGAAGGGAGCAGACGCGGGATGGTCGCGCGTCCCCTGCACGGCAGAGAGGGGCAGCCAGAGAGCCTGGGAAAGAGGCTGCCTACCACAAGGACTTTAGCTTACTTTTTAAAGATTGAAGAAAAAAAAGAAGACAGAAAAAGAAGAACTCAAAAGAGACTCAAAGTAATTTGACCAAGGCTCAGAAGTTTTTGGAGCCGTGAGGGATACAGCAGTTTGGTCAATATTGTCTTAACATGCTTCAAATAAATCAGATGTTCTCAGTGCAGCTGAGTCTTGGTGAGCAGACATGGGAATCCGAAGGCAGCAGTATAAAGAAGGCTCAACAGGCTGTTGCTAATAAAGCTTTGACTGAATCTACGCTTCCCAAACCAGTTCAGAAGCCACCCAAAAGTAATGTTAACAATAACCCAGGCAGTATAACTCCAACTGTGGAACTAAATGGGCTTGCTATGAAAAGGGGAGAGCCTGCCATCTACAGGCCATTAGATCCAAAGCCATTCCCAAATTATAGAGCTAATTACAACTTTCGGGGCATGTACAATCAGAGGTATCATTGCCCAATGCCTAAGATCTTTTACGTTCAGCTCACTGTAGGAAATAATGAATTTTTGGGGGAAGGAAAGACTCGACAAGCTGCTAGACACAATGCTGCAATGAAAGCTCTCCAAGCACTACAGAATGAACCTATTCCAGAAAAGTCGCCTCAGAATGGTGAATCAGGAAAGGATATGGACGATGACAAAGATGCAAATAAGTCTGAGATCAGCTTGGTGTTTGAAATTGCTCTGAAGCGAAATATGCCTGTCAGTTTTGAGGTTATTAAAGAAAGTGGACCACCACATATGAAAAGCTTTGTTACTCGAGTGTCAGTAGGAGAGTTCTCTGCAGAAGGAGAAGGAAATAGCAAAAAACTCTCCAAGAAGCGCGCTGCAACTACCGTCTTACAGGAGCTTAAGAAACTCCCACCTCTTCCTGTGGTGGAAAAGCCAAAACTATTTTTTAAAAAACGCCCTAAAACAATAGTAAAGGCTGGACCAGAATATGGCCAAAGGATGAACCCTATTAGCCGCCTGGCACAAATTCAACAGGCCAAAAAGGAAAAGGAGCCAGATTATGTTTTGCTTTCTGAAAGAGGAATGCCTCGACGTCGAGAATTTATGATGCAGGTGAAGGTAGGCAATGAAGTTGCTACAGGAACAGGACCTAATAAAAAGATAGCCAAAAAAAATGCTGCAGAAGCAATGCTATTACAGCTTGGTTATAAAGCATCCACTAATCTTCAGGATCCACTTGATAAGGGTGACACAGGGATTTCACCCTCAACTGTGCCTGGTGTCCACAGTCTCCCTGTTTTAGCTTCTCCCAGCAGGAAACTCCTATTAGGAAGGGACGGGAAAACAAAGGATGGAGTGGTCCGAAGGCTGGGTTTCCTGAACCAACAAATAATACTCCAAAAGGAATTCTTCATTTGTCTCCTGATGTTTATCAAGAGATGGAAGCCAGCCGCCACAAAGTAATCTCTGGCACTACTATAGGCTATTTGTCACCCAAAGATATGAACCAACCTTCAAGCTCTTTCTTCAGTATATCTCCCACATCAAATAGTTCAGCTACAATTGCCAGGGAACTCCTTATGAATGGAACATCTTCTACAGCTGAAGCCATAGGTTTAAAAGGAAGTTCTCCTACTCCCCCTTGTTCTCCAGTACAACCTTCAAAACAACTGGAATATTTAGCAAGGATTCAAGGCTTTCAGGTATGAATTAAAAGCAAAAACAAAAACAAAACAATTCATTAGCCTCAGATCCTTCATCTCTATCCATCACAAGGCTCATTCTTGCCTGCTAGTGTGGCCTACATGCCACTTACATTTTAAGTTATTTAGGAACACAATGGACATGAAAAAAGAGCCATATGCACATGCTTCATTTTATCTTATTTTTGTTCTATCTAGTAATTCTTTAGCTGCCTTTTCTCCATTTTCCTTCTTTTTCTTTTACAAACATTTTTCATACTCTTCACTGTCTTCCATTTGGTCTTGATTAGGTGCATCTATCTCTTCACTCTGTCTTCCACAAACAAAAATTCTGCCTTCAGACATTTGGTGTTAGTATTTCACACTCAGTTCTCTCTCTTTTTACGTAAGGATTGAGTTTTTCTTTTTTTAATGATGATTTTACTTTTTAGCGGTTTTGAATTTTGAATTCTGTTGCTAGTATTGATTCAGGTACACCATTAAGATACAACATTCTAAAAGTTACCTTAGGAGTTAATTAAACATGGTATTTGAAGAATAATGAAATGCTTTATAGTTGTTTGAGGCATAACAATGTGTATTTGTTTTACTGGATCATGTTTTGAACTGACTAGGGAGGGTAGCACCTGCTTCAGATGGTACCAGCAATTCTGTTTCACTGGGTAGTCTAAAACTAGCATATAGTTTAACTTAACTTGTTGTGTATGTGAATTTAGGGATGGAAACTTTTTTCCCTGTTTATTCTTTGTTTCCTTTTGGAAAAAACCCCACAAAAATCAACACTCCTTTATAGATACATCAGAGCTTTTAAAAGAATTGTTAACTCTAGGAAGGGGAAATATCTGTGTCCTGATTTCTTAGTTGCCTTGAAAATCATGTACTGAACTGTAACCACTAACTTGACTGGATGAACTACAGTTTGCTTGTGTGTAGAGAGTGTATTGCTTCCTCAGATTTCACTGTTTTCATCTTTTTTTCCATCTTAGTCTTTATTCCTTAAGACCAAAAACTGTAATATCCTTTAGAAATGCTCTACAAGATCTGTATTGTGTAGAATGATCATGTATTTATGAAAATTTTACAAGTTTAGATTATAAAATGAAAAAAAAAGAAGAGAGAAAAACGCTGCCCCAGCAGGCAGTTGATGCAGTTTGCCATGGCACGTGACTGTCCCTCCTTGAGTCAGTCTCACTTTTTCTGTCTCTTTCTGAGCATCTGGCATCCTGTGTGTTCCTGCTGTTTGAGGGTGTTTCTGTCCAGCACACCAAGCTGACCATGCATGTTAGTTTAGCCAAAGAAGCCCCATTTGTGGGTGATTTTGGCTGTACTGGATTTTAGACTCTACCCCCTACGTAAGGCGTGCCCCACTGCGCCACCTCTATTATTCTTTCGGGAATCAGGTCACGGCCTCCACTGCACATACCTTAACTCTTCAAAAATGAGATACCATCAGTTGCACAATAGATTATTATTCTGTGTAACAGGAAGAAAAGCAACTGCCAATTAAACAAGGACGCAAGATGCATCCCGAGCCCGGACGAGCTGGAACATGAAATTGCAAGTGATGTGGGGGCAGTGGATTGTGGCCATGGGGGCAGTAGGGTGGCTGTTTTTGTTTCTGTTGCCTGTTCCAGGGTAAGCTTATTATGGTAAGCCATGACAGGGCCAGCCTGGTGCTTTGGATTCCCCACAAACCCGTTGGCTTTACAGAGAAAAACCCCAGACCCGGGTTTCAGTTCCTCATTCTATAGGGGGGATGCCCAGGATACAGGCCTTCAATCAGACCCAGATGGTGGGTGGAAATCTGGGACATTCATGGTGCCAGCCACCAGGACATCAGCAGAGGACCTCATGACCCTGGTGGGAGGCTGTTTGGGTGGTCCAGGTGATGGGAGAAATTGTCTCGTGGGAGGCAGATAGAGCCTGGGCCTCCATGGCTGAGCACTGTATGGAAATGGCCCATGTCCATGACCCAGTTGAAGATCATTGGCAGGCAGAGGTGGGGTCCCTGTTTATCACAGTTTTTCATGGAGACAGAACTAGTAGGATGAATGGATGGATGGATGGATAAATGATAGATTGGTAGATGATAGATAGATGATAGATGGATAGATGGTGGATGGATACATGATAGGTAGATGGATAGAGGATACGTAGATGGATGATTGATGGATGGTTGATAGATGATGGATATGTGGATAGATTGAGGGTGAGAAGGGACTTACTGGGGAAATTGGATCACGTGATTATGGAGACATCCCATGCTAGGCCATCTGCAAGCTGGAGAACGGGGAAGCTGGTGGCATGGCTCAGGCCAAGTCTGAAGATCTCAGACCCAGGGAAGCTGATGGTGGAATTCAGTCCACGGCCAAAGGCCTGAGAACCTGGAGTCACTGGGGTAAGTCCCAGAGTCCAGAGGCCAGACAGCCTGGAGTTCTGATGTCCAGGGGCAGGACATCCTGGCTACAGAAAAGAGATCACATGAGTCTGCCATTTCTCTGACTTTTTCTTGTGTCTGGACCCTCTGCTGATTTGGTGGTCCCCATCCACATGGGGCGAGGATGGATCCTCCTTACTCAGTCCACTGATTCAAATGTCAGTCTCATCCAGAAACACCCTCACAGGCACACATTCAGAAATAACACTTTACTAGCCATCTGTGTATATCTTAACCCCATCAAGTTGACTGCTAACATCACCTATCACCTGGATTCCTTCAGCCTCACCTGCTATGAAAGCCACCTTTGTAGCATGGGCTTCAGCATTCCTCATCACCCACGCCTCTGCTGATTGCCTGGCTCGGCTTCCTTTCATGGAAGAAGGATGCCCACCTTTGTGTTCCCGGGAGCTTGCTAGGTGAGCTGGTTGCCAGAGACACCGTGGGAGAGGCAGAGCCTCGGGAGGAGGACCGAGTTTGAATCAAGAAGCTCCTCCACTGACCTGGGTCTTAATTCATTGAGCAGGTGAAACTGTTTTTGTGCTTAGTGATGTTTAGTGTCTGAGGGGTTAGAGAGTGGAACAAAACAGACTTTTTTGTTTTTGTTTTTTTTTGAGATGGAGTCTTGCTCTGTCACCAGGCTGGAGTGCAGTGGCATCATCTCAGCTCACTGCAACCTCCACCTCCTGTGTTCAAGTGATTCTCATGCCTCAGCCTCCTGAGTAGCTGAGATTACAGGTGTTCACTACCATGCTTGACTTCTTATTTGTTTATTTATTTATTTCATTATTTTATATATTTAGTTTTTGAGACAGAGTTTCACTTTTGTTACCCAGGCTGAAGTGCAATGACGCAATCTTGGCTCACCGCAACCGCTGCCTCCTGGGTTCAAATGATTCTCCTGCCTCAGCCTCCCGAGTAGCTGGGATTGTAGACATGCACCACCACACCCAGCTAATTTTGAATTTTGAGTAGAGACAGGGTTTCTCCATGTTGGTCAGGCTAGTCTCAAACTCCCAACCTCAGATGATCCGCCTGCCTCGGCCTCTTAGGTAGCTGGGCATACAGGTGTGAGCCACCATACCCAGCTGAGTTCTGGTTTATAACAACCCAGGCTGCCCTGGGGAAGGTGGATATTAGGGATGAGAGAGAAGGCAGGGAGACCTGGGTGGGGCCTGTCCATGAAGTTCCTTCATGCCTCACTGGGAGCCTCCATTTTATTTATTTATTTTGATGCAGGTTCTCTCTTTTGTCCAGGCTGGAATGCAGTGGTGATGTCTCAGCTCACTGCAGTCTCTGTCGTCTAGGCTGGAGTGATCCTCCCGCTTCAGCCTCACTAGTAGCTGGTACTATGGGCACGTACTACCACACCTGGCTATTTTTTTTTTTTTTTTTTTTAGAGATGGTGTCTTTCCATGTTGCCCAGGTTGTTCTTGAGCTCCTGAGCTCAAGCAATCCACCTACCTTGACCTACCAAAGTACTGAGATGACAGCCATGAGCCTCCATTTATTACCCGTAGCATTTTCCGAAAATTCAGTGAGAAAAGTGTCATAATAAGCTGTGCCCTAGTCCTGAGTAAATGCTGGGCAGGTTTTAGTTGTACAAGTTGTATTTATTAATCTCTACACCTCCATCTTGCCAGGAAGGGTGTGGTGAGAACTGGCTCATTGGGCTTGAAAGCGGGCCACCTGAAAAGGGGCTGGCTCTGTGAGTACCTTGGTGTTTAGGGATGCTTAGCTTGGGACCAGGGTGTCATTTCCTAGGGACATTGATAGATGGATCGCTTGCTTTATTCCCAGAGGCATAAGCCAGATCTGACACCTGTAACCCCTGTGGAACTGGAGGAAGTGACAAGAACAACCATGTCGTATGCTGGAATTTCCTGGTGTGGCCCCTTACACCCAGATCCCTTTAGTTAAGCGGAGAAGGGAATGCAGCCCGTGCAGCTCTGGGCTGCTGGGTGTCCTTGGCTCGAGGACCAGGTGAGGGAGGCCCGGGCTGAGGGGTCTGCATGGCTTCTTGGACCCCTTTATAACCTCTCTTCATCCCAGAGTGACTCCCTCTCAAATGTCAGGTGTGGGGCTCATGCCTGTAATCAAAGCACTTTGGAAGGTTGAGGCAGGAAGATCACATGAGGTCATGAGTTCGAGACCAGCATGGCCAACATGGTGAAACCCCATCTCTACTAAAAATACAAAAATTAGCTAGCTGTGGTGGTGCTTACCTGTAATCCCAGCTACCTGGGAGGCTGAGGCATGAGAATCCAGGAAGCAGAGGTTGTAGTAAGTCGAGATTGTCCCACTGCACTCCAGCCTGGGGGATAGAGTGAGACTCCATCTCGGGCGGGGGAGGGGGGGGGAGGCAGGTGTGAGCAATCTCCCTGCCTGCTTCTATCTTTGGGTTTAGAAACTCAGTGCTTCATTGGTTTGTGAGTAATGGTTTTATGTTCTCTTGTGTGTGTATGGCCACTGAGAGCTTAGGGCCATTTTGGATTGTGGTTTCTGCTGGTGTGTGTATAAAATGCTTCTGTGACTCTGGAAGAGTTTGGCAGTTTTTTTTTTTTTTTAAGTTAGACATAGTGGCCGTACAGCCAGTCACTCTCTTCCCAGACATCCACCCAAGAGAGCTGAGAACATATGTTCATAAAAGACTGATACAGGAACGTTCTTAGCTACTTTTTTGCAATAACCCAAACTGGAAGTAAGCCAGACATCTATTAGCAAGTGAACAGACAGATATACCCATATGTGCATGTACACAACTGAACGCTAAGTTACGTACAAGAACGAGCTATTGGCTAGGCACAGTGGCTCATGCCTGTAATCTCGGTTATTTTCAGAGGCTGAGGTCAGGGGTTCAAGACCAGCCTGGCTAACGTGATGATACCCTGTCTACTGAAAATAAAAATTAGCCGGGTGTGGTGATGCTCACTTGTAATCCCAGCTACTCGGGAGGCTGAGGCATGAGAATCACTTGAACCTGGGAGGCAGAGGTTGTAGTGAGCTGAGATGGTGTCACTGCACTCCAGCTTGGGTGACAGAGTGAGACTCTGTTTCAATTAAAAAAAAAAAAAAAGGATGGACATGGTGGCTCACGCCTGTAATCCTAGCACTTTGGGAGGCTGAGGCAAGTGGATCACCAGAGCTCAAGAGTTCAAGACCAGCCTGGGCAACACAGTGAAACCCTGTCTCTACTAAAAATAAAAAAATTAGCCTGTCATGGCGGCATGCACCTGTACTCCCAGCTACTTGGGAGACTGAGCAGGAGAATTGCTTGAACCCAAGAGGCAAAGGCTGCAGTGAACCGAGATTGTGCCACTGCACTTCAGCCTGAGTGACAGAGTGAGACATCGTCTCTAAAAAAAAAAAAAAGAGAAAGGTGGGGTACAGTGGCTCATGCCTGTAATCTCAGCACTTTGGGAAGCCGAGGTGGGCTGATCACCTGAGGTTGGGAGTTCAAGACCACCCTGACCTCGAACATGGAGAAACCCATCTCTACTAAAAATCTAAATAAAAATTGAAGGAAAAAAGAGAGTTCATCAGTGCACCCTGGTAAAGTCAGGGGACTAGAGTGTAAAAGAATGTGATATACAAGGCAGAATGCAGGAGCACTGGAGCTAGAAGTGATCTTAGGGAACATGGAGTCACAGAAGAGCAACGAGATGCCATTTC